CAGCCAGGCATGGTGGCACACGCCTCTAGTCCCAGCTCCTCAGGGGGCTGAGGCAGGAGAATCGCTTGAACCCGGAGGTGTAGGTTGTAGTAAGTAGAGATCTGGCCACTGCACTCCAGCCTGGGTGACGGAGCAAGACTCCGTCTCAAAAAAAAAAAAAAGTAGTTGGGCAGGCAATGAAGTGACTGCCACAGGGACCTCACACCCACACATTCTTTAAGCAAATGCACATACATGCACACGACATACAGTATTCCACCATTTCCCCCACGTGGTTTCTAAAGGTATTATGATACATAACCCAGGTTTCACTTGGGTTTAAAGTTGAAAAAGCACCCCATAAACTGTATATTGATCACATATCTGTAAACCATAAATTGGAGCTAACAGTACCTATACCTCATGGCTGTGCCAACTGAATGAGTTAATATGTGTGCTTAGAACAATGCCTGGCGCATGGTAAGGGCTACATGAAAGTTAGCTGCTATTATTAATATCAAGCTGGCAGGTAAGATATGTTGAGTGAGAATCAAGACACCCCCTCCCCAACATCAGTAGGTTCATATGACAGATATATCTAATAAGATGAAAATCTACACATTAATTATGTAACATGTAAGTTACTAAATTTGGACCCTAAAAATACAACAGTCCAAATAGAGGATGAGGAAATGTGATTTAAGAGCTATACATGCGTGAGGGCATGCAGTGGCAAGTTTGCAACTCTGAACACTGAAGAGATGGGTACTAATGAATCCCGACAGCATGAACTCACTGCTGGACATGGCTACTTACTCCAAGTAGAAGCCAGAAGTGGAATAGTTCTATTCTCCATCTAGGAAGCTTTACATCTAAAGATGTGAAGAAAAAAAAGGGATAAGCAGAGTCCAAGGGAAGTTACTACTTAATGGCTAGAAGAGGTATGTGTGAGCGGATCTATAAAACATCCCTAACTACCTGTAACACAAATTACACTGTTTCCTGCTAACGGCTGGCTTAATACATCAATCAGTAAGACTGGAAATCGTTGTTTTATAAGGACTCCCTCTTTGTTGTGGTAGTTGTTCTAACAAGATTTTACCATTTACTTTCAGGGGGCTGTAAGGAAGACTGTGACAGCCGAATCTGAGCAGGTTGAAATGAGATGATTTTCCCAAAACACAGTCTACTTCAAGGATTTCCGTAGAACCAACTCCTTTTGGAATATCCCTTTGAGAACATAAATAGAAACATATATCACTTTCATGTAGTTTGGGGCAAGCAATTTTCTTTACCTTCCTCACATTATAAAATAATTCCAAGACTGATTTTTCATTGTGTTTGAAATAATAGATTTTCTAGAATTGTGTCTAATTTCCGGTAGCTTATTTGCTTGCAAATAAGACAAAATCTTAAGGACAAGTAAGTTAAAATTCAGAGTTCCAAAAGAGTCTGATTCCTTTAAGAATCTGAGGACACTGTTTAGCCAGGTTGAGAAGCATTTTCCTATCATCCCAACTCCCCCGGCTAAAAGTGAACAACCGTTAACGCCTTACGTGTTCCAGGCCCAGAGCGCTCAGAACCACAGTGAGCTACAAAAATACAGAAGAAACATCCTTTTCCCCTAGAAGTTTCCTACCCAGTTAACTATCTTCATGATTAAAATAAGACAGCTGACTACTAAGTTAGAAATAGTACATGCAATAGGGAAATAGACCAGGAAAGGAATGAGAAGAAATTCCTTTTAACTGTAGGATCTGGGCAAGCCTTTAGTCCAGGCAGGATCTGAACAGAGTAGAGAGGTAAGTGAATGTAAAAAAGGCATCCCTTAGTGGAGGAATGGAAAATGGAGGGAAATATTCAACAACGACGGCGCTTCTGTGATGCCAGAGAGAGAGAGAGAGAGAGAGAGAGAGAGAGTGTGTGTGTGTGTGTGTGTGTGTGTGTGTTGTGGATGGAGGCTGCTCAGAACAGTGCAGGAGAAACGGAGAAAAACAGTAAGAGATGAGGAAATTTATTTAGCACCTATTACATGCCAGATGTGTTATACATATTATTTCAATCACACTTTATAACAATCTTGAACGGTAACATTCCTCTTTCACAGATGAAGAAATTGGCCCAGAAAGATTCAGAAACTCCCTGAGAGTTTGGGGAGTCAATGGACTAGCTAAATATTAAAAAAAATTCAAATAAGGTTTTTTTTTGTTTGTTTGTTTTGTTTTTTTTTGGCATACCATGTTTGCTTAAAACCCAGCTAAGGATTCTGGACTACCCTACAGGCAACAGGTGCTGGAGGAGGGTGGAGGCAGTACACCAGCAGGTATCTCTGTTCAGGTAGGGCCCACCATGTGTCCAGACTGGGCTGACTCTTTTCCCTCTGGGAATACGAGGCAAATGAGACACCATCCCCGCCCTCGAAGAACCTGGTGTGCTTTTGTGGGAAAACAGAAGCATTAACAGACACACGTATTATAATGGAAGTACAATGATAGCAATTTGGGCAGAGTGCTATGGAAATACCCTTCCAAGGAAAGAGTCCTAGAGAGGTCGTCCAGGCTGTCTTGGAAGAAGTATAAAGTTGAAGAAGGTGGGAAAGGATATTTTAGGCAGAGGAAAAGATCTGTCTCAAAGCAAAGATACGAACTGTCATGGTACACACCTCGAGGTAATAGGAAGGAAGGGAAATAAGGCTGGAAGGCTTGGGAATGCCTTGCTGAGAAGCTGAAGCCCTGGGAAGCCACTGAAGGTTTTGATCAGGGCAGTGATATGGTTACATGTTATTGCAAGGAAAATCCGGGAGTGCCTTGGGGAAGGAAGACTGGAGGCAGGGAGAACAGCTGGTCAGCAGAGGCGAGAGGAGAGAGTGAGCCAGGGCCCGTGTAAGGACAGCAGTCACAGGCATGGAGAAGAGTTGGGTTTGAGAGACACCAAGGAGGTAAACGCATCAGAATTTGGTGGTTACATTCGGAGAATAAGTGAGCAAAAGGAGTCAAGATCATTTCCAGAGTTCAGTCCTGAGCAACTGAATGTGACGGGTGAGAGCAAGTGCTGGAGAGGAAGCAGGTGCAGTGCAGAGAGGAAGGGAAGGCTCAGGTCAGCTAGGTCCAGTGAGTGAGTCTGAGGTACCTGTGGGACACTGAGTCTGGCGATCTAGAACAGTGGGACATGGACTGAGAGCTCTGCAGATACTCCAGACTAGACAGAGAGGTTTAAGAATGGTCAGCCCGGCCAGGCGCAGAGGCTCACAACTGTAATCACTGCACTCCAGGAGGGAGGAAGATTGTGTGAGCTCAGGAGTTGGAGACCAACCTGTGCAACATAGTGAGACCTCATCAATACAAAAAAAAAAAAAAAGAATGGTCAGCATGTAGGCGGCAGTTAATGTCACATGAATGGATCAGATGATGCAGGGGATCATGCAGAAGGCGGCGAGTGGCAAGAGGAGGAAAAGCTAGAAGCGAGAAAACGGCGGAAAAAGCAGTTAAGATATGCAAGGCAGGAGTCCCAGGGATAGAGCAACACACGATACTAGGTGCAAGAAAGGAATGTAGAAAAGACTGATGTCTCTTCCTCTTTCCTTGTCTCACCCACTTCTGGACTGCTCTGTCTCTGAGGGCAGCTGAGGAACCCCATCAAGAAAATGCCCTTGTGAAGTCTTCTTGGTTTACCCTTTCTGGCCAAAGCACCTCTGTGTCACAAAGGAAAAACTACCAGTCAGACCCCAACAGCTGGATCTTGGACACAGAAACACTTCCAAAAGTAACTCTAATGTTGAGACATTGACTGGCACAGAACACACTACAACAGGTCATTTATTCTGGGTTTTTTTTTTTTTTTGAGACAGAGTCTTGCTCTGTCGCCAGGCTGAAGTGGGGTGGTGGCACTATCTCGGCTAACTGCAACCTCCACCTCCTGGGTTCAAGGGATTCTCCTGCCTCAGCCTCCCAAGTAGCTGGGACTACAGGTGCATGCCACCATGCCCAGCTAATTTTTTTTTTAAGTGGAGACAGGGTTTTACCATGTTGGCCAGGATGGTCTCCATCTCTTGACCTTGTGATCCACCCACCTCGGCCTCCCAAAGTGCTGGGATTACAGGCGTGAGCCACTGCACCCGGGCCATTTATTTCATTTTGATTAGTAATTCACCTTGCTCAGAGATTAAAAACTTAGCATTAATATAGCAAATCTCTTTTAAAAATAATAATAATAAAAAAGAGTCTGGCTAGCAGTGTGTCCTAAGAAACTAAGTGAGCACCGGGTCCTGCCTATAAGCATTAGTCCTGAAGTTAGCACTGCCTGAATGCAAAGAACAAACACAGATAGTGAGATATGACTGGGCAGGCCAGTTCACCTAGGAACAAGAAGGGTAAGAAGGAAACAGAACCAGTCCTGGAGAGTATGAACACTTTGCCCTCTTCCTTAATTTGCACACTGAATTCAGGTATTTTGCTTACCGTTACAGATTTCTATAACCCCTGAAGGCTGGTAAAAGTATTATTATTCCTGTTTTATTGATTGACTGATTGATTGATTGAGACAGGGTCTCATTCTGTCATCCAGGACGGAATGCAGGCGTGCAATTTTGGCTCACTGCAACCTCTGTCATTCGGGTATGAGCAATTCTGCCTCAGCCTCCTGGGTAGCTGGGACTACAGGCATGTGCCACCACACCCAGCTAATTTTTTTGTATTTTTAGCAGAGATGGGGTTTTGCTATGTTAGCCAGGCTTGTCAGGAACTCCTGGCCTCAAGTCATCTCCCTGACACAGCCTCCCAAAGAGCTGGGATTACAGGTGTCAGCCACCACACCTGGCTTATTCCTGTTTCACAGCTGACAAAATGACAAGTTGAGAAGTTATAAGACTTTTCTGATAGTCACACAGATGAAAAATGGCAGAACCAGGACCTGAACTCAGATTTGTATGACTCTACATTCTGCACTTCCTGCTGACCAGCTTTGCAGCTAAGTACCTTTCTAATTCACTTGGCAGCTGGTCTACCTGCCAAGGCCCAGAACTCCAAAAACGATTTCCATTATCAACCCCCAAGATCAATGGGAACTTGGAAGAAGGAATGGCTTATAAAAAACAAGTAAAAATTAAAAAGTAGGACCTAATGTTAATCAAGTGCTGAGAAAACCTCAGCCATCCTCTGTAGCAGTTTCAGTGAACTAATTTGTTGATTTTCCAAGGCTAAAAATAGCCCTTTTATACTGCACACTCTGAGTTTATCCCAAGTATTTACAGATCTATCACCTGACTTATTTTATCTACTCTTGTTTCACACAGGTATTAACACTAAAACAAGCGCTGGGATGGGCACTTCGTGTTCTGTACGACTTTCAAGTCACAGTTGAAATGTCCCTTTCTCATGAAGGCCTTTATCTTACTAGGCTAGGCTAGATTCTGTCCCCAAACTCTCACTTCTTTCTAGGACTTCTATAAATGAATATTAGATATGGGCAGGGCGCAGTGGCTCATGCCTATAAACCCAGCACTTTGGGAGTCCAAGGTGAGTGGATCGTGAGGAGTTTAAGACCAGCCTGACCAACATGGTGAAACGCCAACTCTACTAAAAATACAAAAATTAGCCAGGTGTGGTGGCATGCACCTGTAAGCCCAGGTACTTGGGAGGCTGAGGCAAAGGAACAAAATGAACCCGGGAGGGGGAGGTTGTGGTGAGCTGAGATCATGCCACTGTACTCCAGCTTGAGTGACAGAGCAAGACTCTGTCTCAAAAAAATAAAAATAAATAAAAATTTTAAAAAAGGCCAGACTCGGTTCACGCCTGTAATCCCAGCACTTTGGGAGGCCCAGACGGGTGGATCACAAGGTAAGGAGATCAAGATCATTCTGGCTAACATGGTAAAA